GGTTTCTCACTCACCGGCAATCTCACCATCAGAAACTAGATACATGACATTTTGAATAATGAACAGCTCAGTGGTAGTTTCTCCGTTTGCGAGGTTCGAATCCTCTCTGAGAAGAAATCAGTTTACTGGAGGTTCTAGATATACCTACTGTTAATTGATGCTAATAAGCATAAAGAGCCGATCGACAGCTTCCTGTATATTTAACTTCTATACGCCCAAATGGTTCATACATTTAGAAGGACCATTGAATCAATTAATTAAATTGGTATTATTTTTTATTTATTTATTTATTTTTTATTTGATTTACAGCTTGATTCCACACCGTATTTTCAGTACAAGTATGGAATTTTCAGCATGGATATGCACCGATAAAACACCGAGTATTGTTGTAATTGTGTAGTTGACGTTATGTGCTACTGGCAGATAGACGTGAGTAGTTGGACATTTCTCACAACAACTAGTAGTGCTTGCTAACAGAATTAAAGTGATCTAAATACTGCAAAGCATTTTCACAAGTTTGACGTCGAGCTCATCCAGCGGTATATCTGGTATGACTCAGCTCAGAGGGTTGAAACCATCCGATTTCTTTCTAGCTACCTGCGCGAAGTGGCAGGAGAATAAAGCAAGTTGGCCTTTAGCAATTTACACAGTTCGAGGTTGTACGTTCTCAGCCCTCATTGTCCTCTTTGTAGACAACATCCCCTCCGCGTAGTATTCAGTATGAATTAAGCTTTGAGAATCCCCCACCAATCAACTTGCCACCTCTCCTGGCGACTTCGCACAAGTTTAGCAGATTCCGGATATATTAGTCACCCGCTTTTGTACTACTGATTTTGTTAACCCTACAGTAGGCCTATAATGCATGTGACTTCCTTTTTATGGTGTGAAAAATCTGACGGATACAAAAATGTCTATTAGTTACAGTTTCATCAGAGTATCTGACTTTTAGGAATTCCATGGTATTTTTTTTGCTTTCCCTGTATGTCTGAAATTTATACATCTCAGTCTAGTTGGTCTTCGTTGTTGTCTGATATATAAAAGAATGAATATGACATGTCTTCCGACAGCTAGGTTATGTTTCTATGGATGCAAAGACAAAAGGAGATGCCTACTTGGACCACTATATGTTTTTCGTACTTGTCGCAGCTTACCTTATAGATGAGATCAGTTCTGTCTTCTTTATCCGTGTCGTCTTCCAGTTGAAGCAGTATGTAGACTAAACTGATTTCAAAGGTTTGTAGGTGAAATCGGTCCCAAAAGGTTTCAATAGTCTCTAAGCATGATTTCAGACACTTTAGAATGGTCTTCTTTTTGTGCTTTCATAGAATTCTTTTGTGCTGATGGGGTATGACTGAGAATAGACATCTTTTCAGGAAGTTTCGAGATACACTTATAAACAGGTTTATGGAAAATGAGTACTATTACATAGGGCATTTCACAGATTGGGTGGACAGTCTGTAAATTTATGAGACTTTACGGTTGATTTCAACTCCAAAATGTGTAAGAACAAAATAAAAAACACTAAGTAAACCATTTTTGTATTTTGTTTCTAGGTAAACATTGTAGTTGACACTGGATGCACTGAGTGCTTATCAAAAAGCAAATAAAAATGCAACAATCTGACTTGTAAAGTTTTCGGAAAAAACAACCAGGAAACATCAAAACAAACAGAGGCAAACATGAAAGTAATTGAGATTTCGTCGACAATCAGAAAAAAATGGATAAAGATTTCAAACTCACTTTTACAAAACCAAAAAAGCAGCTTGCAGTGATGAATAGTGGTGTAAAAAAACATATGGTACATCCCAGGAGTGAAGCTTTGGGGCGGACAGAAAGGATGGGTTGAATGGCAAGGGAGAGACTGCGACACTTCAACCTATGAATTATAACTACCACCGATGTGGCTGTCACTTACATGTGGGGTGATCTTGCGAAGCTGGCAGTATTGCATCGTCTCAGACCTCTTATCAGCAAAGGCGACTTGGGCTGATGGTAAAGGTGGAAAGCCCGAGTAGAAAAAACGCTTAGTCTGGGTTCAAACCGCGAACCTTCTACATTTAAAGCCGATAAGATAACCATTACACCACCACAACCTAATGATTCTTTTTGACATTAATTTGCATTCCGAGCAGAATATAATGCTTCAAGTTTCTTCTGAACTTTCATTAGAAATGAAGTTACTAGCCCCACTCGCAATCATCGCTCTTTTGTAGATTTGCTAACGACTGGCAAGCTAAGTGAGATTAAGGAGTGTTTTGGAGGCCAACAGTCGAACTTCAGCCAAGTGCGTGGATGGCGGCAGGCGGTAGCTCGAAATGCCTGACCTATGTTGTAGCCACCTAAATGGGCGCAGCCTGACTCCCCTTTCTTACCACTAACACCATGTGCTTAATCTTATTGTAACGGATCATATTCCACAGCCCAATACAAGAAACAAAAAGGAGATACCTATGGCTAAAGAATTATAACCTCTATATATTTGCCACTTTCAGTGGCTATATGTCCAGTTTATACATTTAAATGAAACTACTTAAAAATCCCATCTGTAACACAATAAAGTCAAGCTAATCAACACTCCTATACTGATCGCGTACTTGAGGCGCGCACCACCAAAAGCATTTCTAACAGGCGTTCATCAACCTCTATCCCACTCCTCTCTTCACTGCCTTGAAGTTGAAGGACAAACGTCAGACTATAGGGGATAAAATATGAGTTACTCTGGCAGCGAATAAGTTGAGAGCTTGTGCAGAAGGAAAGGGAGCCGAATGGGTCTAATAAAGTACCCTAAGTGGAGACATTCATGTGACACCATACACCATCTTGGGTGCTGACTGGAATCCGGACAAAAAGAGACAAATTTAATGTGTGTCTGAGAGTTGTATAGGTGACATCACATGGGCACGAGGAAATGTAAGCTTGTGGGTGGACGGGAGGCAGTCATTTAGTCAGCTGAAAGTGATGTTATAGAACCAAGTGGAATGTAGGTGTATTGCTTAATGCCTGATGTTCCTCTGAGAAGTCACTGGATAACGAATGGCATAATAACATAATGTAATGTATAAATTCTTTACTACTCTATTATGAGCCATGAACGTTGATGGTTCAATATACCGACAACATAATTACTCACATAAGAAAACGTAAGTAGACATTATTTAGGAGAGTCCGAATACACAGGTCCTTTGAAGAGAATGGAAGGGTAATACCTACTAAATATCCTCAAAATGAATGCTTATCCATACAATTTCATCAAAAAGTATTTAAAATCAAGTCATAATGCCAACAAGAAAACATCATCAAAGACCACAAGAAAATTCACTCGACCATATATATATATCGGAATTAATGGCTAGAATACTAAGACCGTGTGAAATATACATAGCTTACCAGCCAACCAAAACAATCATTTCATTCGGTATTGTACTGACGAAGAGATCCGACAGAAAAAGAAAATAAGATTAACACTGTTTAAAAAATAAATTGCATGAACTCCGATAAACATTACATTGATCACAGTGGACGTCCCCTTTGTGTCCGAATCCAAGAACACAAGTTAGCTGTGGAAAGGAACGAGTGTATTCTTTCATATCAACTTAATTGGGGTGATATAGAAATCTTAAATAGAGGAAACACTAAAAGTGCAGTCACGGAATTTCTAGAAGCCTGGTAGTCGAATGAATTAGCCAGCGATTAAAAAACACAATAATTGCTATAGACCAAATTTACTAACTCGGACTCACAGAAAAAACTTGGAGGATCTGGACTTCACCGATGATATATGTCTGATTTCCCACAAACTGGAAGATATGCAAATGAAAAGCAACAGGTCGGCAGAAGAAGCGTCAAAGACAGGACTTCAGGTGAACATAGAGAAAACAGAGATAATGAAGATTCCTGGCCAACACCAACAGCAACAGACAACAATCAGTATAAATGGGAGGAATCTGAAAGAAGCGAACTACTTTACCTACCCACGTACCTAAGAAGCGCCGTTTCAACTTCAGGCGAAACTGACGAAGATATCAAAGCAAAGATCGGGAAATCAAGGCAAGCTTTCATTTCCCTTAAGTCTCTGTGAAGATCAACAGCATAACTCAGCATGAAAAATTAGATCCGGATTTTCAACTTCACTGTGAAGTCAGTGCTACTATAGAGATCAGAGAATCGTCGCGTCATGAAGAGCACCTCAAACAAACTACAGACCTTCATCAACAGCTGTCTTCGCTCAATACCACTCAAGATCAGATTAGCAACAGGGAGGGATCTCTGGCAATGAGCGAACCAACCCAGCAGGAACCGATTGTGCAACAGATCTACAGGAAGAAATGAAGGTGGGTTGTCCATACTCTGAGGAAACCATCAAGTGACATCACACGGCAGACTCTCGAGTGGAACTCAAACGGGAAGCGGCGAGTTGGTCGTCATTGCAAGGGTGACATGAAGGAGGTCATGTGAAGAGGAGATGAAAGCTTGTCGGCAGACGTGGAACTAGGTGAAAACGTTAGCAGAGAACCGAACGCAATAGACACGTGAGGCTGAAGGCCTATGTTCCTCTAGGAACTAAAGGAAACAATAATAATAATAAATTTACCAACTAATAAAGAGAAAATCACATGACAAGAAAGTTCAAATTCCAAGTCAGTAAAAACGATAGAGAGAGGAAGATGTAAATTAACAAACAATCTCTACAACAGGGATTGGCATGAGATAGGATTATGTCATCGTTCATAGACAGTTCATCGAATAGGTTCATTTTATACTAAAATCTGTGTTGAAGATGTTGTCTAGCAGGTGAACAACGAAATCTCTGCAATTAAATCTTCAACTAGCTCCTCAGAGAACACTGCAACTAAATCAAAAGAGGGAACATAGTTTGGTTGTGTGAGGTTAGCAACCCTACATAACTCTACCACTCCAGCTGGAAATTGAAAGCTCAAGCCATAAGATAAAGGAATAAGTAAATAATATAGCAGCACTATGGAACAGTCCTTTTCACTTACTTTCAAATTATAAAATCTCTTCCCAATACATTTGTGCAATGATGAAGATGCCGGTACTTTTTGATTGTCATATATCATTGATTTATTACCAGTTGACATGAACTGATTTGAATGACTATTGATCATGTTCAATAGTTGCTCAGTTTGTTCTAATGTATCTATATTCTGTTGAATGTTGAATGCTTTATCTATTGATTTATATATGGAATTATCTTTGTCAATTGAATTAGTATTCATCGAATTAATTTGTTTTAGCATTTTGATAATTGAATGAAGTTTATGCATAATCGATTTTTGATCTGCAACAGCCTGCAAATAAATAGAAATATGTGGAAGAGAGAAAATGCATTCATTATATAAAGGCATTAATAATTGATTTGAATCCAAGATTTTTTGGCTTTTGTAGGCGGTAAAAGGCTGGGCGAGAAATTCGATTCGTTTCACTGTAGATTTCGTTTTCGCGAATCAACAAAATCAATTATAGCAAATCACTGAAAACTAAGGATTATGTACATTAGCTGTTTCGTCCTAGTTTGAGGCTATGCACTCAGCCTGCTAATCAGTTGAGTTTTAGGTCAGTGTGTTTGAAATTCAATAACTTGTGGATTCCAATTTACTGCCAATTCATCGTTTAACGCATTGGTGCAAACCAGTGTTGCCGATGGCCATCCACTTCATGTCTGACATGATGGACCTCATAAGAAACGGATTCTCAATAGCACTTCAGGACCTCCATTAGTTCAGTAGCCTTTAATAATTTCAAGACTGATATTCAAATTTTAACTGCTAGATTCAATTTCCCCTGTTGATGAAGTCAAAACTAGTATGAAACAGATGTTAAGATGGTGCTTCGTGATGTTATCAACATTGGGAATTCAATTCCACCAGTCCAATCATTCGACGAGAAGTAAAGTTTCTCTAGCGATTGTGTCTATTTTCCGGGATAGGATCGCTAACCGCACACCTAGCCATCCCTCTTTTTGGAGTTGGCTCTGGACCAGCTAGGAAAAAAATAGACCAGTGAACTAGGCAGCATCACCTCAACTATAGGCTTCATACATGAGGATATCAAAGTCAGCCAAGATCAAAAATGCAAGACAGACCTTAATTAATCTGAAGTCAGTGTGGAAATGTGCAGCACTCAGCATAAGAGGAACAAGACTGGGATTCTCCATATTAGCGTCAGAACACTCAGTGCTTCTATGTGCCTCAACGACCTTGCCAAGTCACGTAAACTGTTTCCAATAGGTTAGTGAAAACTTCTATCATCGGTAGCCTTTGCCCCATCATGAAGATCAGGTAATCAGAAAGGTTTAGCTATAATGGAACTTTGGTACGAACCTATTGCCCAGAAAATATGCAGAAGACAATGGAGATGGATTGATTGGAACCGTGCGGAAGAGACCAATGAGTGACATAACACCCTAGGCCAACCACCGACTGCAAATCGAATGGGAGACGATGAGTTAGGTGTGGACTCAAGGGTGACATGGAGATTATCGTGTGTAATCAGGAGATGAAAGTTTATGGGCATTCATGGAGCCAGTTAAAAAGTATTTCAGGAAACAAGATGAAATGGAGATTTGCTGTTGAGGCCATATGCCGCACTAGTAGCCTTAATTTCGGTTAGTTGATGGTAACCAGCAGTGGATTGGTGTTTTGTTCCTATTTGAAAACTAGTCAGCTGAATGTACCTATATCTGCAATTATGTCATTGATGGAGGGAATTCCTATCAACGCTAGAGAAACCTACCCAATGTTTTTCAAATCTGTCGTCCGCTATGCATTTGGGGCTAAAAGAAAATGTGTCACTAGGTCAACATGTATTGTTTGTTTGTTTGTTTTGAAATTTTAAGATTTAAATTTTTCTCGATGATCAATTTTACTGGATTCCATTACTAGCAGTCAACGTCAACCAAAGAAATAACATCACGAATAACATAAGGCATCAACGAAGCTAACAAACACAATTTGTTTTAATTGTATGGAGGATTTCATCATGAGCTGACATCAGTTAGAGAACCACTGGAAAACCTGGGAGTACTGGACAGCTGTTTCGCCCCACCTAGTTCGGGACTCTTCAGCAGTACGCGCCCACCGGGATTCGAACCCAGGGCCTTCTGGTTACAAGGCGAGCTCGTAGGCCATTGAGCCACTGGGATCCGATCCAATGGTCCTTGAATTCTAACTTCTGCCAATTCACGACATAGCACGACCATTTCGCAATGTCTTCTTAGATGAGTTACTGTCACATCTTCAACCTGCTGTACCCTACTGGTCACGGCTTCCCACTAGAACTCCAGGTTAACTGCCTGAATAGGGCCAGTCACTAGTGAGCATCAGATTAATTTTCAAGTATTGGTTTGGTAGGGATTTTGTTTAACTGTATGGAGGATTTCATCATGAGCTGACATCAGTTAGAGAACCACTGGAAAACCTGGGAGTACTGGACAGCTGTTTCGTCCTAGTTTGGGACTCTTCGGAATCTACTGAAAAGAATATTTTTCATTCATATTGACTTTTTGTACCTTATCAGTATAATTTCATCTACCATGTAGTCGTATATTCTAAATACACCCCTTGTAAATTATTTAAAACAATACTAGCGTGTTTAAGAAAAAAATTACAAAAAGACAATTTTTCTGAACGTTTCTCCGTGTAAGCCACCACAGCTTCTTCAGGAGCAGTATTATTCAGATTCTATTAACCATCAAAATATATAGTCAACAGTTACGTAAATTGAAGTCAGTTTTTTTGAAGGTTACTTGTCGATAGACACTTGTGTCAACAGAAAAGTGTATATGGTCATCAGATATTTGAATTGTTATTATTATTATCGTTCCCTTGAGTTCCGAGTGGAACATAAGGGTTCCAAGAACACACCTCCACTTTGTTCTATTTTCTGCTGTCCTCTTCAACTGGGTCCACGATTGTCCAGGATATCTCATATCCTCCTCCAACTCACACGATCTCCTACATGCCATCCTCGCACTCGTTGTTTCTCATTGGGATTCCATTCTAGCGATGGCCTGGTGCGCTATGTCATTCAACTGCCTCCTCAGTGTGTGCCCGATCCATCTCCACTTTCTCCTATATATGTGTTGAGCGATAGGTTGTTGGTTGGTTTATTCACATGGTTTTTGTTGCTAATTATTTTTGACCAGCTATTTGATCTCCAGTATGGAGTGCAGGCAGCTGTTGATAAAAGTCCTCAGTAGCCTGTTGGAAGTGCTTTCTGTGATCCTCTAGTCAAGTATAGAAGCAGTAACTTACTTCACATTTGTGTTGAAAATCCGAATCTTTTACTGGTTTCAGGTTGATGAAGGCGTGCGTAGCTTGCTTTTCCGATTCTGACTTTGGCGTCTTCATCCGTTCCACCTGTAGCTGAAACAATGTTTCCTAGAAAAGTGAAGGAAGTAACCTCTCTTAAATCTCTCTCGTTGATAGTAATTAGGGCTCGTTGGTGTTGTTTGGTTATCTTTATCACCCCCATCTTCTCTATGTTCACCTGGGGTCCTGTCTTCATTGCTTGCCTCTTCAGTCTGTTTGTTGCTTTTCACCTGTAAGTCTTCGAGTTTGTGTGACATTTGACATATGTCATCTGCGAAATCCAGATCTTCTAGAGTCATATCATCGGTAAGCGCAGTGTATGCATGTCTTCTCACTCTCCACTCACAGTCTGACGCATAGTCCAGTTCACCACAATTACGAATATGATAGACAGCCAGTTTGTCTTACTCCTGTATTCACTTTAAACGCCTCGCTGAGTTTTTCATTGGGAATCACCCGACAAGTGGCATTGTCATATAACTGTGGTTGAATAAGGTTGATAGAGACTTGGGAAATCCACGCTGTAGTGTAGAAGTAGTTTCCAAATTACTTCACGGTCTACGCCGTCCGTCGAAGGTCTTTTCGGAGTAAATAAAGTTGAGGTAGAGAGAGGTTTGACTGCCATTCTATGCTCTATTCGATTACGATGCGTAGAGTTGCAATCTGATCAGCACCTAATTTGCCTTTCCTGAATCCAGCTTGTTCCGGGCTGGTGGAGTTCTGTTTCCAGTGCATCTTTTATTCTCCTCAGGGTGATGCGACTTAATATTGTACTTGGCATGCACAGGAGCATTATTCCACGCCTGTTCTTGCAGAGTCAAGCCTAAGTCATTCTTCTTTGAAAGCTTGACGAGGTAGCCATTGTTTCTCCCAATCGCTAGATACATTTCCCTCCTTCCAAACCTTTCGCAATAATGGCGTGTACGCATCTGCCGCAGTCTCTGGGTCTGTCTTCAGTGTTTTGGGGTGAGGAATTCCTTCTGACCCTGCTGCCTTTCTGGCCAGACTTCAGTAGCTTGATCGCATTTAGGATTTTCGTTTTCTTTGGAGGAGTGGTGTCCACTAGCAGGCAGTTCTGTGCATGCTGTTGGTGGTGGTGCATTCCTGAGCGAGTTGCGAGTGATGGTCGATTCAAGAGTCCCTTGAATTGAACATCCCATTGTTTCATTTGTTTCTCCTTCTTGGTAATCAGGTTCACATGAGCACCTTTTATTGGTTTCATTATCTGGGTTGATCTCTTCCTGGATAGCGATCAGCCTGGTTATCTGATATAATGTCCTTAGGTCTCTTTTACCTGCAGCCTGCCTGCCTGTTCTGCTTCAGTTGCCAATCAGTCTGTCATAGAATTGTCTTTTGTCTCTCGTGGCACTCTTCTTCACTTTCTTCCTTATTCAGTGCAGTGTACATTGTTGTGAACTCAGCTTCTCCTTCTGTTGTCCATCTTTGCATTGAGTTATCTTCTCTTTCACCATCCTCCTTCTAGTAGCTTCCAGGTATCCGTTGTGAGCCATTCCTTGTCTTTTCTCTTCTTTCTTCCTAGAACAGTTGTACACGTTTCCTTAAACATCACCTTCAGAGAGTTCCGATGTTCTTCCACTCAGGTTTCCTCGGTTATAACACACAGTGTCTTTGACTTTACTCTGATCAGATCTGTAGTAAACGCATCGGTTGTTTTTCTCCTTCAATTTCTGAGTGTTGAACTTGAATTACAGTGACCTGTCTCCAGTTGTTCTGAAGGATTTCAGCTTCACCTTGAAGGTTCCTAGAACTATATGATGGTCAGAGCCCACATCTGCTCCTCTTCTTGTATCCAGCAGGCTACGTCTGTCTTTCCGTGAGCAATATTGAGATGAAATCTATCTGGTTTGTGGTGTATCCGTCAGGCGAATTCCATGTTGCTTTGTGTATATCCTTGTGTTTGTACACGCTGCCTACACTCACCAGATCACTGAAAGCATGGAAGTCTGCGAATAATTTTCCGTTATCATTCATTTCGCCAGATGAGAACCTCTCGACTCATGATGGGTCCTCTGCCTGTATTATCGGGTCCCGGCTTGCATTCATGTCGCCGATAAGGATTTTGATGTCGCCATTCGGGATGTTATCAATTACCGTTTGTAGTTGTCTATCAAAATCTTCCTTCTTCTATTGTTCCGCTTTGTTTGTAGCATTGTGCGTAGCATTGGATAATAGTCACCTTCATTCCTTTTGCGGTGAATCTAGCTGATAAGTCTATGTTTTCTATCCTATTTACTGCATTCGATGTGGTTAGAATATACAAGACTTCAGAGTTCAGCCTTTCTTAATGTGAATGAAAGCCTCTTCATAGAATTTCCACATTAATTTGAAAAGGTGTTCAGCAAAGAGTTACTCTTTTCGGCGATATCGTTCTCAAGCTGTACAAACCGCAAATTTATAGTAATTTTTCTTGGCAACAAAAGGAATATTTCCAGAGATGTGTTAATGCAATTGTTACTTTTTGACAACAAATTACGTAATTTAGAAGGCGTTAATCGGTTAGAAACTAAAATAGAGTTACAAAAGTAGGTTGGGTGACGTAATCTAATTGATAGGGTTCAATGAAAAATGAATGAGAGTCAAGTTAATAATCTGAGTAGAATTCACTTAAAAATAAACGAAAATGGAGTTAGCAACAGTCGTCATCGGGGTAGAGATTTAATAGAGGGTGGGGGTAGAAAATAATGCAGTTAACAAACATACAAACAAAGAAGAAAGAAATCTCTACCCTCACGACGACTGTTGCTAACTCCATTTTCGTTTATTTTTAAGTGAATTCTACTCAGCTTATCAACTTAACTCTGATTTATTTTCAAGTGAATTCTACTCAGCTTATTAACCTAACTCTCATTCATTTTCAAGTGAATTCTACTCAGATTATTAACTTGACTCTCATTCATTTTTCATTGAACCCTATCAATTAGATTACGTCACCCAACCTACTTTTGTAACTTTATTTTAGTTTCTAACCGATTAACGCCTTCTAAATTACGTAATTTGTTGTCAAAAATTACCAATTGCAACTTTGGAAATATTCCTTTTGTTGCCAAGAAAAATTACTATAAATTTGCGGTTTGTACAGCTTGAGAATGATATCGCCGAAAAGAGTAATTTCCACATTGTCGAAGTCGATCTTATGTTCGCTGTCTATAGCATGCACTGCTGTAGCTGATATTTTTTCTAGACTTACAAATTCTATCTCGTTTCATGAACATAGGCTGTGCACGAAATGTCCACCTTTAGGCACAAATGTCTATCGACAAGTGACCTTCAAAGAAACTGACTTCAGTTTATATAATTGTTGATTATATATTTTAATGGTTAATAAAATCCGAATAATTCTGCTGCTGAAGAAGCTTACATGGAGAAACGTTCACAAAAATTGTCATTTTGTAATTTTTTCTTTAACACGATGGGATTATTTTATGCAACTTATTATGATTTAACGTGACTCGGCGCTCAAATTATTCCAAGGAATTCGCAACATCTACGGTTTGAAAACTTATAAAAAAATACCCTGTTCAAATTCAATTGTTACATAGAAGTTGTGATTAAATTTCTGCTATTTTGTTTTAGAGAAGTAATAACAACCTACTACCAGAAAAAAGGAGAAAGAGAAACAGAGTGAGAGACAGAAAAACAAGGGGATAGAGATAAAAGTCATCAGAAAATGAAAAATTTATTGAATTAATAAACTAGAAGTGGGACATTCACTTTTAGTGGACAGTGGATAGTATCGGCTATAACATACTCTCATTATTAATATTATTCACAATACCGTTACCATTGTTATTATCATTTATATATTATTTGATAAAATTACAAGGTTACAGGAACATTTTACTTTTTCTAAATTAACAGAGTATTTAAAATCCTATCCGCCTACACTATTCTGTTATATCGACTTTTAAGCATAGAGATGTAAGTGCGTAGTCTGCGTGTATGTACGCTTGTGTTAGTGTGTTTGTGTATATACAAGAGTTTGTCTATATTTGCGTATTTATGTATGCTTGTATAGATAAATGTACACAGTAATGAGTAGAAATGTGACACATGTACACACACACACAAATAAATAATTGGATATACATCACTCGTTCGCTATACATCGCTTAAATACAGATTGAAAAAATTAAATTAAACTTAAATTCTCATTCTCATTAATTAATTAATTAATTAGTGGGGAAAATGGAGAGGAAAAAAAAGAAGACGTAGTTAACTTACGCATCCCACTTCATTCGCTTGATTGAATTTTTGCATTTTCACTTATTCGATTTTTATGTTTAACAATACATTATTCGGTCACTGTATTGACATGTTGGTATCACCTAGTGCGGAGGCTTCGACTATGCTTACGAGTTAACACACCCTTACATTTTTTTTTAGAAAAAAACCATGTACATTTAATAATATGAAATGAAGAAAAATTCAACAGTATACAACTGAATCGCTTACTAACTCACTTTATGCATCGGTGGAATGCTTGTCAAATACCAACACACATACACATACATACACACGCGTGGTCCAGAGATCGATTCCTACGGCCACTGACGAACACATTTACAGACCTCACCTACTTTACTAACAGCCAGTGGTGAGCCCAGGTAAAGACAGTAGAAAGGTCGGTCTTGAGATTGCTACTGAAACTTCGTGCATGAACCCCTATTTCCAGCTTGGAACACAAAGGAATGACAAACAAAAACCCAATGATTCACTCACCTGATGATGATGGTGTTTGTGAGTGAACTGATTTTGTTTTGGATTCATTGAACTGGGTTTGATTAATTCTGGGTCTGTTTGACAAAATGTATGCTTTCGACCATTAGTATCGTTGTATAAGCCAATTTTTAGTTTTGACTGTGAGATAAACAATAGGAAAAGGATAAATTATTGATTAGAGTTTTAACTGATTCAAGATGCCCGTTAAAAATTTCAAAAGAATGACCGGTGGTCAAAGAATGTTCTTTTCAGTAACTGCAGTTTCTTGCTAATAACACCCATGAAGCAATAACACAGAGCCTGAAGAGTGCGGTTAAAAGAGCATTCCTATTTTATGTTCAAAAAAGTAAAGAAAAACTGTGTCCTCCTGTATGTGTATCAACCACAGTTTGTCTGAAGCTTCGGAGCTACATACATTTGGCGTAAAATTAAACAAGTTCATTATCGTATTTCTCAACACCATCCTGCATAGTTAAGCAAGGAACAAACAAGACCCCTTTGGAGCTCTGTTTCACCTCACACCTTCTTGATCCTGAGAATAAAGGTGATGCTAATACAACATTTAAAGTTGTTTATCGCAATTCCAACTAATCTTAATTTGCTTCACGAATTCGTCTTCTACATACGACAGATGAAGCAATCGGAATCAACCTCTGAAGAAGTCAAGCCTGTACATGAATCCAGAAGAAATTCGTACAACCACTTTCTTTCCCTTGATCATCGTTACATGATTGTAAAAACCTGACCACTTCGCCCTCCTCTTAGGTCTTTTAAAAATTATCATTGGCCAAATTATTTTATTCTTTCTGACTACTTCACCTTTAATTACTTGTTAACACTGTCCAAATCGTTTTATTTTTCCTTAATTACCTGTCATGTAACCAGCCTGAACATTCGCTTATTTCTTAATTACTCTTCATTTTTCCTGAATTATACTTTATGCAATCCACTTGTTTGTAAACATTTAATCGCGTAACCCTTTGAACTCGTAAGTGGACTAAAAATAACTGCGTCACGAGAAAGATACCAACCTGCATCTAATGACTTACTATTCCAACATACACTACAATGACAAATAAAATAGCTATTCAAGTTTGTTTGGTTGATAGATACAAATCTGTTTTGCAGCCGAATTGATTTCCTACTGCCATATTATACTGAAATGATGTGTAGTTGTGTTTTTTGAGCAGTTTAATTGTGAAGCTTCCATTCATTGTTCTCCTTACTTTAGTGTGTTAGGTTAGAGTGTTTTCTTATTTTGGAATTCTTCCATAATTGGTACTTAATGTCGCTTCCGATGAGCTCGGTCTTGATTGGTTGTGCAGTCTATATATTCAGCGTCATCCACTTCATACCCGCCCAACACAGTAGAGTCCCGAAATTCATGGCTTCTCATTGAAATTAATCAGAACTGTCAATTTAGAATGGGCACTAGCTAGTAACTAGTATCATGCGCCTAGACCTTTGTTTGGCGCAGAGTGAATTTTATAAGACCGTCAGTTTTGCAATGTGGCCACCATTCTAGGTGACTCGGCATCATGATGCACTCTACTACCAATTGCTGATATTAGATGGTTATAGGCAGTCGGCAGAAAACCCTGCTGAGATCCAGGTTTCGTGTTTGTTGACATTCGTCAGCAAGACGTATCCGCAATCTTGAAGGAACTCATATCCCTACTCACGAAGATTCTAACCCGTGTTACCCAGTTCCAGTGAAATTGATCAGTACAGTACAGTCCCACAAGAGGTCACTAGTGATCCCGGATGGCTCAATGGTAGCGTCTCTGACTGCAGCACTGGCCGACGTGGGTTAGAATCTTAGAACCTTGTTCCAAGGTTTCCTGCTGATTGACTTCATCCATCTAACAACAAACTGTCAATTTAAATATCATTGTCTTAGTCACTTCCAATTCTAATGAAAAGTGAGCACTAATGAAGAGTCCTAAACTGGGGTGAAATGGTCGTTTTTTTACCGTTATTATTATTTTCTTGGGTTACGATTGAAATATAGGGCTTCAATAGCAAATAGCTATGCCATCACCTCTTCTGAAGTCTTGTTTCTCTGGCTCCGCGACTCCCCACAAGCTTCCGTCTCACCCCTTTTTTTCCTCAATGTCACCCTCGAACCTACGCTCACATCGTCATTTCGCATTTAGCTTCGAACTGAAGATCTCTATGTCTCATGAAGCCACTCAGTAGTCTCTTCAGCATGTCTCTAATCCGTCCTCTTCCATCTCCTTCTGGGAGCTTGATTCTTGTTTTGTATGTCGCCAAAGTTCCTTCGTGCTTACTGCTTACTGACCATCAGTATGGAGGAAAGGAAGCAAGTGACAAAAGTCCGTTGCTTGTTGGAAATGCTGAAAATTGTGACGCTTACGCCAAGTCTGTAAACAATGGAGATTATTATTGTACAAAATCCAAATCCTGCACTTTATGATGAGTGCAGCGGATTTTCAAACTGATTTCAGATGTTTCCATTGGGTGCCTCCATCACTACTGTCTTTCCTATGTTCATTTGAAGTCCTGTCTTCTCTGCTTCTGCTACCAACTTGTTGGTTTTCATTGATGTAAGTGTAGAAACTTGGGCACTCTTGCAGAATGTAATTCCATATTAGATAAGTTTATTCCAGATATATGACACAGTGATGCAGTACTAATAAATAGGGTAACGTTGCTAGCATAATCATATCATATAGTATCAGTTTTTGTTTTCGCCTGTACATGTTCGAAAATGTGTTACATTAGACATAAATCATTTGCAAAGTCCGGATCATCTAGAGTCTTCTTGTTGGCCTAATCTGTGTCCGTCTTCTTGCATCCCAAGTTCTGTTGAACGAACAAGTCCACCACAAACAGGAATATCATCGTAGGTGATAGTAGGCAGTGATGTCTTACTCCGGTATCCACTTCGAAGGCTTCTCGGAGTTTTTCATTATGATTCACCTGACATGTAGTATAGAAGTTCTTTTTCCCCAAGTGTTTGCGTTCCAAATGAAACAAAGGACTTCAGGCTTTCAGCTTAGACGTTTCAGTAGAGGAAGTTGAGTTGCCAGCTGAACACCCAACTTTCATTCGTACCCCGCCCCTACTTATCGAGGTTACTACTAATCGATTACACGAAGTTTAATGGAATGCATCCGTTTCCGGGAATCGAACCTAAACCAGTAAGGATTCTACCACTGAACTATAGATGCACTAGTGTTGAGAAGTAAACTCCTCTTGGATTTTAAAATCCACCGTTCTATTTCTACAGTATGTCATGAATTTCCGACATTGAATAACGATTTGTTCCACTTCACTGGTTGGTAATTGTCATTTCGAGCATAAAATTACAGACAAGAGTTTCGATAATAATAAAAAAATAGCAACCAAAAAGCGTTGTGTTTCACATATATACTCTGTCATACATTTCCGAATCACCAAAAATGAGACGGAAAACAGTAAGACGTTATAATAAACGTTACATCAAGAGACTGATAGTTTTATCTTGTTTCGTTTTATTTTTGTTCTGTTCCCAATTTTTTAAGTCTATCCGATAATAATGGATGTTGTTCTCTGTGTATGTGTATATCTGCGTATGTAAGTGTGTGTGTGTGTGCCTGAAATAAACATACATGTAGCAGTGTTCGCATGTGCGAATGTATGTGCATGTTGATTGTATCAATTATTTGCTCAACCTACGCTCTATTCCGTCGACTTTGTCTCCCGTTGGAAAAAACATGTTACATCACAACCCATATATATGTATATATATATACGTCATGAGTAATGCAATAAGCCACTGTCTTCTTAGTGTCTCCAGTTAAATCGATACAGTTATTTGAGTGGGTAGATATACAGAGAGTAAGAGGCAAACTTCAGTGATTATTCTAAGCGTGCTAAATCAAGGTGGAATAAGCTCCCTCTCTCTCTCTGTTTGTGACTGTTTTTCTGCTGAAATCCATTGTAAGACAGATTTATTTATTTATTTCAATCACTAATTTCATACATTTATTCCCCTTATTTGAACAAATTTGAACAAAAACAATAAGACGGTACCATCATTGTTAATTTCATTGGCCTTTCATCAGCTGCGTACAACCTGAAGAAATCATTGCGAAGTCCATGTGCAGAAAAATTTTAGCATACCTGAAAATCTTACTTGATGTTAGCTGACAAGAAGTTCCAAGCTTAATAAAGAATGCTCAGAAAATTACACTTCTATAGTTTTTATCCGGAGAGTTCAAGTTTAAACAAAAAAACTCTTGGATACAATGGTAAAGGAGTTGCGTAATAAAGGCAAGAGATGAGTATACTGATGAGTAACTAAGAAATTGGGTAACAATGTGCTGAGTTCAACTCATACCATAGAGACAAGAGACAAGCAAAATTACATAATACATAAGGGAAGTGAGGTTAAAGCAAAGGATTGCGTAATCAGATGGAAGAGAGAATAAAGACATCCAGTTACCAGGGTAGGGAAAGACTGATAACTGCTTATTTTTGAACACATAAATCGAGATTCAGACGTTTGAAAGCGATTGCTTCAGTAAACTTGAGGAGAACTGAGCTTTTTTGTCTATTGATAATGTTAAAAGAATTCGCGATTTCCACCTCATGACCCGTATCAGAGACATGCCTGGTAATGGCACTATTGTAAGTGTTTGTTCTCTTGAGACGTAGGCTTTTCGGTACATATTCTGAAAATCGGAGGTGCGTGTGCCTTTTTTCTGTTCTCCCAATGTAACTGCTCCCGCAGATACGCGTAAATTTGTAAATATAGTTGGAGTTAACATGAGAAGGGTATCTGTAGGCTTCTGACTGCACCAAAGAGCAAGTTTTCCGATAGACGGGAACCACCTTAGCTGCAGGACAGGCTCTAACTAGTGACGTACTCAATCTTCTATTGACAGTTGCTGCAATATTTTCACCTTTAAAATCGACTGAATGAAGTTAAGCTTTTTCCCCAATATGATTTGTTTGATGTTTGTGCCTTCACATCTTCTGTACTTGTTAATGAATCCCTGGCGATAAGAATTGTTTTTAAACATCTTTCCAAAAATCATAAATCATTCCTCTAATTCATCTGTAGAGAATATTCTCCCAACCCAGTCGCTAACGTTTCCCCTTTTTTATCAGTTCAATATGATTTGAGGTGA